AATTATAGTTTAATCACCGAATTAGTCAAACACATAGATGTCAAACCATATTAATTAAGTAGTTTATTTGCTTTATTTTTCTTTTGTTACTGGTCAAATACGAGGTTAAGTCATTTTTATTTTTTACAGAGAAGCAGAAGTAGGGCTGTAATCAGGTTGGATTAGAGTCAGATTCAATTATTGAAGTTCTAAATCCGGCATCTGATTCTGCTTTGTATTATAGAATCTATAATCAGATTTGGATTTTTATTGAATCGGATGGGACCAAATCTGCATCCATTCCTATTAAACGGATACACATTTTAACATTCAAATCCGATATAATCCAATCAAATGTCAGATTGTTATCGGATTTTTGGAGTCTGCTGACAGCACTAAGTAAAATGATTGATCAACATTAAAATAACCTTAATTTTGAAATTGATTTATACTGAGGTGGTTAATCAATCCGTCTGTCTGATATTTGGAGTTGCATTCAGGAGTAACATCTGTATTTAAATAAACTTCAACCATTTTTCGATATTGGGTTCCTTGTTTCAAGTTCAACTTATCTGCTATTGTTACATTTACCACCCAAGATATACATATCTTTGGGAATTTGTGTTCTCCGAGGCAGTTGTTCTCCTTCAAATTTAGTATTTTAAGCTTGAAGCATGGAACTGAATTGCCATACTTTTTTATTTTTCTTATTAACTGCACATGTTTGTTTCCAGAACATCCACTATAACCATTGATCAGGTTCTGAAATAGTGAAGGCACTCTGATTCTTTTGAAAGTGCATCTGTTGCTCCCAAAATCTAAGAAACCATAACTGTAACAGTTGAAAACCGTGCTAGAAAACAAATATTAGTGCTCAGAGTTTGACCTTTTCTGCCAAATTTGCAAGTATTTAAAAAATATCCATAAATGAATCCATAACAACTAACAACGTTTTAAAAATTGACTCGGAAGTGGAACTGCTTTGGCCACCGGTTTAACTGTCCAATTCAAATGGATGGCCCATTTTAACTTAAAAAATAAAAATAACTAAAATAAAAAAAAAATGATCAAAAACTGTTGTCTGGGTCGAATGAGTTGACAGTTCAACAACCTAGGTCAACGGGAAGTTTTGAGATTTTAAAACATGTATGAATATGGGTAGGGTATGATATTAGACTAAATTCAACCTTCCCCCACCCACATATAATGAATTTACTAAAATACCTCTAATGCTAACAATTAACCTATTTATGAACTTATGTATTATGTGTTGAATTTAATAATGTTTTGAATCTTATATAAAAAATAATTGATAGTTCATGTATTTTCTACATATTTAAACCGTTAATGTTTGTTCATATTATTTTGTTTGGTGGCTAATGGATGCGTTGTGGAAAAAAGAAAGGGTAGAGAAAATGGGCTGGTTTGTAAAGTAGATCTACGAAAAGCCTATGACTTGGTTAATTGGGAAGTCCTAAAAATATTAGAAAGACTAGAATTTGGAGCTAGATGGAGGTCTTGGATTAAAGGATGTTTAAGTTCAGCTCATTACTCAATCTTAATCAATGGTACAACAAAGGACTTCTTCTCAGCTAGGAGAGGAATTAAGCAAGGTGATCCCCTATCCCCATTCTTATTTATCCTAGTGGCAGAAGTGTTAAGTAGAGTGGTGGCAAAAGCTAATGCTCAAAGCCTTATTAGAGGTTAGAGGGTAGGTAGAAATCAGGAGAATGTTACCCATCTCCAATTTTCATATGACACTATCTTTTTTTTATAAAGGAAATAATGAGGAAGTGGTGGAAAATTTGAAGGTGCTGCTGAATAATTTTGTGGGAGTGACAGGACTAAGGATAAATTATACCAAAAGTGGAATTGTAGGGGTTAATTTGGAGGAAGGAGAACTAATAAGATTTGCAGAGATCTTGGGGTGCGAGATCAGAAGCTGGCCTATTCGTTACTTAGGTCTACCCTTAAGAGGAAATCCCAAGTCAGTTGGGTTCTAAAAACCAGCTTTAGAAAGGTTTGATAGGAAGTTAGCCATTTGGAAGAGGAATTATATTTCTTTGGGTGGAAGAATAACCTTGATTAGAGCCACTCTGGCAAACCTCCCCACCTATTTCCTTTCAACCTTTAGAATCCCTTCTAAGGTAGCAAGGTGCTTAGAGAAGTATATGAGAGATTTCCTTTGGGACCTAGGAGAGCAAAGGAATGACCATTTGATTAAGTGGGAATAGGTTAGCAAACCTAAGGAACAAAGGGGGTTTAGGAATTGGGAACATCCCTTTTAAGAAACACAACTCTGATCTGTAAGTGGCTTTGGAGGTTTCCCTTTGAGGGCGACAGACTATGGCACAAAGTGATTGAGAGTATTCATGGGGTGGATGAAAATGGCTGAAATGCAAAAGTTTTCCCTCACAGTTCTTCATCTTCTCCTTGGAAAGTAATTCATGAAATCTACCCTACTTTCCTCAATTCCATCCGGTATGATGTGAGACAAAGTAATAAAATTTTGTTTTAAGAAGAACTATAGGTAGGGGAAATCCCACTTAAAGACTAATTTCCTAATCTCTTTGCGCTATCTTACCTCAAGGGGGAAGCTATATCCATGTCGGGAACACCATGTCCAAACGGTGTGAACTGAAATTTGGGATTTAGATGGGGACTAAGGGAAAATGAGTGTGAGTCTTTAATCCGATTGCTGGACCTCCCAGGGCAAATCCACTTGGACCCATCATTGGAAGACTCTAGAATTTGGGTAGGCTCTCAGATGACCTCTTTTCTTGCTCCTCTTTCTTCCAAGTACTTGCTTCCCCCAACCTCCTAAGTGGGGATTTCCCTGTGAAAAAAATTTGATGCAAGCCTATTCCCCCGAAGATCCAAGCCTTCGGCTAGGAAATATTCCTTAGTAAGGTAAACACTTCCAATATGTTGTAGAAAAGAAGGCCATACATTTGCCTTTCTCCTCATGTGTGCTCGTTGTGTAAGGAAAGTGGTGAGACCCTTTCTCATTTAATGATATCATGTTCTTTTGTGACTCGAATTTGAGAATTCTTTTGCACTCTCCTTGGTTGCAGGTGGGTTCCCCCTCAAGATGTGGCAATACTCTTCAACTATAAATTCTTGAGACAATAAAAGAAAAGAGGGATGGTAATGTGGCAAGCAACAAAAGCCCCATGTTTTGCTAAACCATTAGCTAGTCCATTTGCACTTCTTCTGATACATTTAAATTCAGCCTCAACCTCCTTTGCAATATTCTCCACTTCCTTAATCACATGTTTAAACGTCCATGGGGTATGATTGTTGTTTGCTGCCCATGAAATTACTACTTTTGATTCCCCTTCACTTCAACATGTTTGTATCCTACCTGTTTGCCTAGCTTTAACCCTTGTAGTAAACTGGTAATGTCAATAGTTCAACCTTCAATGAGTTTTTTGTGCCAATTGGTCATGAAACCATACCCAATATCCGCCTTTCAAAATTTCTTAATACTCCTATTCTTGAGATGCCCGGATTGCCAAAGGAGCTCCCATCAAAATTCAGTTTTACTTTATTGCCTTTTGGTGGTTTCCACTCCAGCCTTACTTTATCTCTTACTCTCGAAGAGTGTGCTACTTCGGACTATGTTCTTAGAATGTTTGTGATTGAGAAGACTTGAAAGCTGTCCAAGAGTTTTACCCAATGGACTACTTTCAGCTTGATACTATCAATAACTTCCTCTGTTCTACTTTTTTCCAATAAAATTTTGTTGTTCCTCTCTTCCCATATTACCCAGCAAATTGATGTTTTTGTTGCTTTCCACATTACCATTCCTCTTTTCTTTTGTTGTCTCAAGAATTCATGGTTGAAGAGTACTGCTACATCTTGAGGGGATACCCACTTGTAGCCAAAGAGAGTACAAAAGAATTCCCAAATTCGAGTCACAAAAGAACAAGATATCATTAAATGAGAAAGGGTCTCACCACTTTCCTTACACAACGAGCACACGTGAGAAAGGCAAATGTATGGCCTTCTTTTCTACAGCATATCGCAAGTGTTTACCTTACCAAGGAATATGATAAGGGGTATGGCTGTTATTTACCTTACCAAACAACAGTTATATCCCATGGATGTTTAAACATTTGATTAGGGAAGTGGAGAATATTGCAAAGAACGTTGAGGCTGAATTTAAATGAGTCCGAAGAAGTGCAAATGGGCTAACTAACAATTTAGCAAAACAGAGAGCATTGAGACAGCAATTATTCTGGGCTGCACTATAATGAGAGATAGAATAGAGTGATTAAGGGGGATCAATAGTCCCATCACCTAGTTGTATAAACTGTTTACAATCTGAATTTTAATAAAATACATGTTTACTAATAAAAAAAAATAACAAGACAATAGTTGTGGGGAGGGTGCAGATTAGGTGGTTTGGAGAGCTGGGGAGGGTTTAGAATTTACACAACCCTCCCCAAACCCACCACATTGTCATACCTAGAGATATTTCAATTAACCATTTGATAAAACCCTTAAATGCCCTTTGCTTACTATTTCTATCAACACTATCAAAAAAATATTTCAAATCAAATTCTTTTAAAACATTAGATCATACGTGGAGTTCAAAGCCAGTCAACTAATCTTGAAAATCCAATTGATATACAAAGGTTTCAACTAATCTAGGGCATGGTAGATGGAACTAATATATAGCCCATCAATGTTATATCCTATATCGGTCCAGCAATCTCTGTCCTTCAAGTGCTATATATCAAATCTAAGTCTCCTAACTGATGTACCAAGTAACCCAAAGACCCAGGCCTTCAAAGTGGGGTCTTGGTGAATCAATTTCAGCCATCCAAGAAACGAGATTTTAATCAATTTGAGCCAACCAAATAAATCAACCCCAAGAGCCTATACCATCCAAGTACCAGACCCCTGAAAGGCTGCTGTAGCCAACTCTCTATATCCTAGACCCAGCAGCCTACTGCATCGAATACATAACACCCTAAATAAAGTCTCCATAAAAGATGAGCAGAGCGATGCAACGGTACAACTACAATGCATTTCTATAATTCTATTATAAATCAAATATTCTCGACAGTGAAGAATACAGACCGTCTCATTCATCATTTACACTTTGTTATTGTCAAAACGCACCAAAGGACAGTGTGCTTCCACCGTCCACTGTACATGGCAGCCACCTGAATATTACTTCAACATGTCATCTCATCTCACTGATATCCGAGAGCTCTTCCCACAGGTTATATAAAAGGGGAAATGGAGAAAACTGTGAAAACAAGAAATGATTTAAAAAGGATAGCATATACATGCTACCCATAACTGAAAAGCTCACCATAAAAATAATCCCCTCAACTCTTGATAGTAACAGCAGCTTGGCTCTCGTAGAACAGGATGTACCCATGATCTGTGTTACTAGAATACTCCTGTGCTGACCCAAAGAACGTTTGAACAGCAGACTCATCCATCATCTCCACATTCTCATCATCAAAGAATAACCAGTGGTTGTGGCTCTTCACAAGGCTGACATAATGCCCATGGTTTGGTCCACTTCCAACATGGACAACAACCGCAAATAGTGAATACTCAGAATCTGCTTCTTCCACGGTATTACTCAGTTTCAGTTCTAATGGAAACACAACACGGTAAGATAGTTTCTTGTACCGGCCAAGTTGCTCAATATACTTGAAGCGTTTCAGATGGATAACCAAGATGTGAGGTGGCTTTTTTATCTTCATCCGCTTCTGTGCTTCCTGCAAACTGCATTAGAAAGTAACATAATCCAATATTGGTGGTCTGAAAACAATGAATGCAAGTGCATAGGACTTCTCTTTAAAAAAAATAAAATAAAATGTAGTTCTTCTTAACCATTCTGTACACAACAACCTGCATGAAAGCTGCAACGCAACCATCATTTGACAGGTCCTATTTAAATCTCCTAGGCCAAAAATTTTACTCGCATAGAGTGAGACACCAAGGATAACTCGATATGAACATTTTGTCCTAAAAGAGCTAGTAGGGAGAAACTACAAAGGGTGGATAAGAATTGCTAGCATGTGCTTAGCATCTAAAGTAGGTGGGGCAAAGAGTATATTCAATGGTAAATATTTTGTTTTAAGCAAAACAAATATAATAGAGAAAACCTAATTTCACATACTTTAATAGGGAGGATGCTCTTAATGCTATATTGCAACAAATAAGGATCAAAGCAGCAAAGAGCACCTGCAGCACTTGTCACAGAAGAATTTGTCCTCAGCATTCAAAGTCTCTGTAGAACTGAAATTTTTAAGACAGCTTGTGATTGAACTGTTCTGTTCTATGTCAAGGCTCAAGTCCAGAAAAGTTTCATCCCTTGCTGTTACCGTCTCACATCGTAGGCATCTCGTCTCATTAGTCAGTATACCCTGCATTTGTAAAGCCATCAACAACACAATTCTTTAAGAAAAAGCAAAAGAGAAACAGTTATCATGCATAAATTGGAGAACAGAGATCAGCTCAGTCAATTCACCTGAAAATTTTTGTGAACCCAGGTTACTAGCGGCTCCTTTTGAAAACCATTAGCCTGAGCACTCTTTAGCCCATTTGCAGTCTTCTCTGATGGTGATGAAGTTTGTGGAGAACTTCTTGCAGCATGAGACTCTTTCTCCAGTATATCAACAAGTTCATTTAGCAGAAAGTTCAGAAATTCATGTGCATCCTACAAGGAAAGCAAGATGTTTTGTCTCAAAGGTTAAATGAGATATGGAACCATGGAGTTATTTATACAACACCCAAACTACTCAATCACAACATACTCTTTCAAAAGAGATTTCCAAGAGATCCATCTATGAAGCATGTAATAATATGTTAAAGAAGAAAAAAGCATACAAATAAAAAGAAGCAATCAAAAAAGAAAACATGAATATAACTCTAAGATATTTCATTTTAAGTGCATTTATCTTCTCCACCAATTATTTGTCAGTGTGTACATCTGCCAAAAACAGTTTTATTTTCATAATAAAATAACAAATTTTGTTAAAATGAAAAAAAAAAAGTTACAGCTGGAGAGTGCTGAGACAGCACTCAGAATCAACCAAGAACCCTTAAATGCCAGCCCCAAACCCAGCAACTTATTTAATGATAGCAACAAGCATAAAAGCCAAGAAACAACTAATCTAAAACAAACTATTTTCAGCAACTGATTACTGACAAATCAATCAGTTTTCACAAAATAGCTTCATTCAATTCAGATTATTCATCTCTGCCCTTTATTGGTTTCTTGCATTCCCCAACTCATCAGTTCCCATAATTCACTACTCTCTTCCCTGGATTGTCCCATTACTAAAAGCTACACTTCCCCCACCCGAAGATGCTCTACCTCCTTGAACTCCTCACCCCCCAACACCAACATTCCCATTAACTTCATTTTCAATCTTAAACCCATCCCCTCTCCCTTCTCTTTGAAAAGGACCACTAATGTTCAATAGATCCCCAGGTTCACCTTGGATTTCTTCAACCTCTCCAAGACATTCTCTTTCTCTTTCAGTTTCAGAAATACTTCTGTTGAAAATTCCTCCCAAGATTTATTATAAGATCCAAAAAGGAAGTTAGTTGGGCTGGTTCAAATAAAAGAATAACTAATGCTTCTCTTAAACCCCTGAAAGAAAGGAACCAAGTCAATTTCAAAGAAGTCCAAGAAGGAGGTCTGGAGAGGAGACGTTGACCAAGATTGGAAGAAAAGATTTTGGTGTGGAAAGAGAGTTAATTGAAGACATCTTAAGGAAATCTATTGAGTCATCAGCAGAAGGAACAGTGTTAGAGGCAAGTATAAGTTTAACACTTAGTTTCAGCATACTCAACAACAAAGGATGGTAGATTGGTAATGGTACCCCCCCCCCCTATCTAGAGGTGCTCAAACTCAATTTTGACGGTTGCAGCCTTGGAAACCCAGGGCCCTCAGCAGTGGGAGGAGTTGTTAGAGACCATGAGGGCAGTATCATACTTGGTGTTTTAAAAGCACAAGGGCCAATTTGTGCCTGAGGCGCAAGGCACAAGTCGAAGCATGCGCCTTTTTGAAGCAAGGAGCAAAATTTAAAAAAATGCAAAAAAAAAAGAAATTCAAAAAATATTAAACATAATGTTAATAAAAAATATAAACTTAAATTTTAAAATAAATGTTTTAAAAACCTATTATCTAAAATTAAAATACATAAACATAACACGTAAAGCGTATTCAAATGAAAATTTAAAAATAAAAGCAAACATATAAAGCATTTTCAAGCATGTAAAACCCACAATCTCTTTTTTTTCTCAATTGCATTATTTCAAGTAGCTAATGTGATGCAAAACATATTGCCTTCTTGATTCTATGAGTCGCCTTTGTACCATGCCCCTCGAGGCAAGCCTGAACAAGTTCATGTTAGGGTCTTAAATTCTTATTTCCCACATAAAAAATAATGATTTTATAACTTTAATTGCCTTTTAAGAAGATATTTTATTAAAATGAATGAATGAATAACATTAGCAAATAAGGGGTTAGGCTCAAAAAAGAAACAAAAAGCTTAGAAAATTAAAAAGGTACACGCCTGGACTAAGGCACAAGGCGCATGAAAGGGGTGTGCCTAGGACCTAGGTGAGGCGCATACCCTAAAATGCGCCTTGCCTGTGCACCTAGGCACACCTTTTAAATCACTAGTCATACTAAGCTTTTCAGGCCCGATGGGACAGGAAAATTCTTCCAACGCTGAACTTTTGGCCTTGGTTCAGGATTTGAAGTTGTTAGTTAGGCAGGAGTTATGGAATGTGGAAGTTGAAGGTGACTGTCAAATGGTTTTACCCAGATGACAAGGCAAGAGCAAATTCCTTGGAAGTTCAGACCTTTAGTCAGAATGGTCAAGCTCTAAGTGCTGATTTGAACGCCTCATTCAAATGGGTGCCTAGAAATGCCAATATGTTGGCTGATTCTCTGGCTAAGGCCGGGTTGGGAAATCTTGTGTAATTTTGAGATGCCCAGGACCAGCTGCTATATGTGTAATTTGTAATCAGTACTGTTTTCGCTTTGTTGTATTTTATTTTTTCTCTGTTGTCATCTGTGGATGGCCTCTTGGGAGGCCCATCATTGTACACTTTTTTGTCTGTACTTTTCGTGTGCAATTTGGTTTTTGCTGAATATTTTCCCCTTCTTGCTTATCAAAAAAAATCTTTCTAGAGAAAAGGAGGTTGTGGGTAATAATGGCAGTGATTTAAAAGGTGCGCCTGAGGCACACCTAGGTGCACAAGCGAGGCACATTTTAGGGTTCTGGCTTCTTGTGTGGCAGTAAACATTTTTTTAAGGATTCCTAAAGTTTTGTTCATTTGTACAGATGTTTGTACAGTGAGCAGATATACTTGTATTTCTCCTTTGATTAATAAAATTTTACTTTACCTTTTCAAAAAAAAAGGTGCATGGCTGGTGCACCTAGGTGTGCACCTGATGCGCCTTCTGCCTCAGCCCAGGTGTGTGCCTTTTTAAATTTTTGTGCTTTTCTTTAACCTAGAGGCTGGGCTAGGGGCTCCCCCTATTTTCTATTGTTGTTCATTCATTCATCATAGTAAAATATTTTCTTAAAAGACAATTAAAATTATAAAATCATTATTTTTTAAGTGTGGATTAAGAATTTAAGACCCTAACATGGACTTGTTTGGGCTTGCCTTGAAGGGATTGATACAAAGGCGACTCGTAGAATCAGGAATGCAATATATTTTACACCACTAGCCATTTGAAATTTTGAAGTAATGCAATTTAGGAAAAAAAGGGATCGTGGGTTTTACATGCTTGAAAATGTTTTATATGTTTGATTTTATTTTTAAATTTTTCCTTTGAATACACTTTACATGTTATGTTTATGTATTTGGATCAAAGGAGGTGTCTGAGCCATCCCCAGAAAGTGGAGGTTCTAATAGGGGAAGCTGCAACTAGGGTGGCAGATTATGGGATTGGGTCGTTTGCTACTAAGATTCATAAAAGAAAAAGAAGCTACAGAACAAGACCTCTTAATGATAATGTTGAGAGTGAGTTGGAAGAGCAAGGAGAAGAGGCAAGAGAAGAAATGCAGAAGATGGTATAGATTTGTATGAAACTCATACAGTGAATAGTTCAGTTGAATTGGACATGGTGGTTAACAAAGAAGTGGAAGTTAGTAAGATCTTGGGGTTATCTTTCTAGGAGGGTGAGGAGTTTGCAAGTAAGTATATTAGAGAGTTCAAGGAGGATAGTCGCGAGGAAGAACTGTTAGGGGCAGAGGAGCTTCAAAAGAGTCTTAGTTCATCTATAGTTGAAGAAGATGTGGATAAAGAAGAAGATGAGAGGGGTGCAGACCAGACTTTTGAGAAGAATGCAGTGTTAGAATTGGAGAGAATTAATGCAAGTAATGAGAATTGACAGGATTTTTGCAAGACTGAAAACATAGTTGTCAAGGCGACTAGGCAAGGCTAGGCGACCATGGGGCACCCTAGTCGCCTAGGCGATGGAATCTGACATAAACTATTTTGTAAGTTTGAGAACTAGGTAGGGAGTAGAGTAGATTCAGCTGTTAAAAATAATAAGTGCAGGAAGCCAGTAACAAGGAAGGGAAGAAGAAGAAGAAGAAGAAGAAGAAGGGCGGAGCCCCTGTTTTTTCAAAAAAAAAAAAAAAAGCATTGAATCTGGGCTGGAAGAAGAAGTGAGAATAGGGGTGGAGACCCTGTTTTTTCAAAAAAAAAAAAAGTATTGAATCTGGGCTGGAAGAGGAGGAGGAGTATAGGGGCGGAGCCCCTGTTTTCTCGAAGAAAAAAAGAACTGAAGCTGGGCTGGAAGAGAAGAAGCCCCTGTTTTTTCGAAAAAAAAAGGAGCACTGAAGCTGGATTTAGGCGCCCGTCTAAGTCTCTGGATGGTCGCCTAGTATACAAAACTGTAGAAATAGTTAGTAAGCCACGAGTGTGGGGTTCCATACCCACACTCAGGCTCTAGTATGTGTGGTTCCATACCAACATCTAGTTGTTTTTAATTTCTTTTAAAATTGGGCCGGCTGGCCTTATCCTTATCCATATTATGTTTATCCTTTTTATGTTTTGTTTTATTATTAGAACTAGGATTTTATGTTTTATTTCCTATTCTTGTAAGGAACCAAAACTATAAATAAAAAAGTGTATGGGGCGGCAGAGATCATCAATCGAACCCCTTTCTTCTCTCTTCTCCTCTCTTCCCTTCTCTTCTTCTCCTCTACTCTTCTTTTCTTCCCTTTTCTTTTCTGAATTACAGTAGAACAGAAATCTACTTGCTTTATTCAAGTTGGTATCAGAGCAATTGACGAGAAAAACTAGGTTTTTCATGTAAGCCTGATCTGGTCGGCTACATGAGAATCCATTAGATCAAGGCTTCTGCAGAAGTTGCCTGGTTCTTGGAGGTTACTGGAGTGCTTAAGACTGCCCAAGAAAGATTCTTGGAGAATTACCCGGTGACCATGAAGAATCAGAGATCAGATTCGATCAAGGCTAGGGTTTCAAACCTAAGTGGACAATCAGAATTCTTTTTCTGAGAAAGAATTCAGGTTCGATCAAGGTTAGGGTTTCAAACCTAAGTGGACGATCAGAGTTCTTTTTTCTGAAGTGGATAATCAGGGTTTCAAACCAAAGAGTTCTTTTTCTGAGAAAAGTACAACCTTTAAGCTAATTCGACCTTAGATAGAAGTTATCAAGAAT